ATCACCGCCTTTCCCAGGAAGGAGACCCTGACAGGTTAACTCCCAAGGTCTCAGGGCTCACCGTAAGTGACCAGACTAGGTTAGATCAGGCCCCCCAACTCCCCTGAGGAGACATCGATTAGGAGGAGATGAAGACCACACAGTGAATCCCATCCTGCTTGGCGGGGGGGTCTCCAGGATCTATCTCACACATCCCCCTCTGCCTCCCGCCCACCACCTCGAAGGACGTACCCCCACCCCCCACCCCACCACCTTCTCCGGCTCTAGCTGACACATTTTACAAGGAGGTCAGCCTCCTAGCCCTCAGCTAGGGAATCACGAGGCTGCCTAGGTTTCCCCGGGTGCCGAGGGCAGGAGCTCTGGGCCTGGTACTGGGCCAGCTTGGCTTTCTCCGCCTGGGCTTGCTCCCTGGGATTCTGTCTGTACTCTCTGGGCGGTACCATCCAGAAAGATCCCTGCGGTCTGGAAGCCGAAGGAAGAACTTTTTGTGCACCTGCTTTGCTGTGTCAGGGAGGGACCCCTCGGTAAGAAAATTGTTTGTGGGTTTGAGGTGGTTCGGTCTGCCCACAGAAGCCCCTAAAGTGTTCACCTTATGCAGGAGAGTGACAGGAAGAAAGGGGAGCCCAGTGCAGGAAAGGGGTTTGGATTTTTCCCTGATCACTGAGCATAGCGTTTGCCTCTTGGAAGGAGAATGTGATTTCTCTCTCTCTCTCTTTCTCTCTTTCTTTCTTGGTTATTTCAGGGTGATATGGTGACCTCCGATTGAGGGTGCAGCAGGGAGCTTCCTTTCTTATCTTTTTGTTTTGTTTCGTGTCTGTTTCAACTGTATAAAACTGTCCGAGAGTTTCATTTGGATACAATGAAGCCAGATATCAAAAACATAAATTACCTTCAAGACTCGGGAGTCTTAAGAATTTGTAGGATTCTTCCCCCTTTCTAACCTCAAGGCAAAATTTTCACTTAGTGACTTATTTTCCTATCTTGATAGGATATCACTAGAGAAAGGATTGTTAAAAAAGAAATGGTGTGTGTGTGTGTTTTCCACTTTAATTAAAAGGAAAATAAAACTTGGAATGATAGTCTGCTGAGAAGCAGGTTTCCAGCCTGGCCAACGCCGCCCTCCGGGGTTATTTACAAGTACCAGGGCTCTGGGTTTGTCTAGTTTCTTCAATTCCCAACCCAAATCATGTTCACTCTTAAATGGCATTCAGGAATACAAATGTGAGACTTTAGAGAAGGCTTAACTATGTGTAGGGATTGGAAGCAGCATTTCTTCAAATTTAAGGGAATTTTGGTTGTGTTAAGTGGAGTCCATTTTTCCTGTAAATTCAGTCTGCTGGTGTTTGTTTCACTTGGGGAAGAGAGCTAACTGGGAGCACCCCAAGCAGAGGAATTATTTTCATTAGATGTCTGCTTACTCGCTTGACAGGGAGGGAGACGTCTTAAAGCTCTAGAAGAATAAAAATGGCAGGAAAAAAACACAAGTAATTACTTCCTTTTTTTTCCCCCCAATCTTTGTCTGCCTCCCTTTGTCACTGCCGCCCTGTCACAGAGCTTGCTGGTGGCCGAGCCTCCAGGATGTCCAGGCTGCTCATCAGAATTGCACTGTGAAGTACAAGGTCATCACCGCCTTTCCCAGGAAGGAGACCCTGACAGGTTAACTCCCAAGGTCTCAGGGCTCACCGTAAGTGACCAGACTAGGTTAGATCAGGCCCCCTAACTTCCCTGAGGAGACATCGATTAGGAGGAGATGAAGACCACACAGTGAATCCCATCTTGCTTGGGGGTGGGGGGATCTTTCTTTCTTTCTTTCTTTCTTTCTTTCTTTCTTTCTTTCTTTCTTTTTTTCTTTCTTTCTTTCTATATAGCTCCCCATCAGGCATGGTAGACCTTGCCCCCTCCCTCCCCATGGCCCGCACAGAGCAAGGCCAGGTGCCTGCTGGCCTGGACTCCCACAGGTGAATGGGGGGTGCGGGTCAGGGAGGGAAGGAAGACTGGGGGAGCAGAGCAGTTTCCATAAACAGATTTGGGGTCTGAACTTCAGCCACCATGCCAAGGGAAAGATGGGCCTGGAGGACAAGCTGCTTCTTTCTTTTTCTGATACTGAGTTCAACATCCCAAGATCAGTGAAACCTCCTGCTCAGGATGCTTTATAAAATGGTTACATTAACTACAGTGACTGGTGCTGGTGAGTTTTTAAAAAGTAAAGTCTGTCTTTTTTTTTTTTAATTAATTTGATGCTAGGCTTTCCTGGGGGCAGACAGGAAAGATACCAGAGGAACGATATCATAGTTACTGCCGAAAGTGATTACAAACTGTGTGGTTTTCAGTTTGGGACTGTTTCTTTTCCATCCTTACAATATTTTATTCTCTTTTCCACACTCAAATGTGTGCATCAGAAAGATTTTGCCTTCTATTTTTTTTTTTTAATTTTGCCTGCTATTTTGTTCCTTTTTCTCCTCCCTGAAGATTCTGAATCTCTGCTCAAGTGCTCAGAAACATACATTTATGCACACATGGGGACATGGGCATGCACGTCTCCCTGGGTGACCCTGATTTCGTCTGTGGCTTCCCCCAAAGCCCCTGCTATGCTCTGTTCCCCTTGAAGTTGACATCCGGGTGGCCCTGATACAGGCTAAAGATTTCAAGCTCGGCCCAAGTTCCCAAAATGTCTCCATCCCCCACACACCCTGGGTTTCTGGCTGTTGTCTCTATTAGCATGGACCGAATGCCCTGCTTTGCGGGCTGATTTATGGTTGCATTAGGGAAAACTCCACAGAGGGTGTAAAATACAGTGTCCCACGCTTGGGCCTGATCTTACATGTTATCGGCAGTTGCGAGTGCATTTTATAACCCTGGTGCCAAATCGAAATCAAGGTGATTTGCGCATCAATCTCCTGGATAAAATCAGGGCATGCTCTATTGCGGTTTGACCTTCGTGGTGCCTTTGGCTGGTCCGACTTGTCTAAGTCCCTTGGACAATTACCCAGGGACAGTTGGAAAATGCACAGATAATGGCCAGAGCTGGGATTACCAGCTGTATCAAAAGGCTTAACTGCTCACCCCAGAGACTCCTGAGCGACGGAGAAAAAGCCTTAGGAGGAGGCTCGCATGGTCTTTAAGAAAGGCAGGCTGCAGGCAGAGAGAGGGAGCATCTTGGAACCGCTTCTTCTTCTCGGGTGCACTTTGAGTAACCCCCGAACTCCGTAGCAAATCTGGAAAGAAAAACTCCACTCTCAGAAAAAGCCAGGCAGATAGCTGGGCTCCAGAAACCCCATGCAGGCCCTCCTTGCCTGGCTGACGATCCCAAGAGCTCAACTGCCTGTGGGTCAGAGAAGGAATTAAGTTTCTAGAATGAATGGAAGGCAGGCATAGGAATGAAATTGGTGGCAGGCATTTTTTTTTTTGTCTTGACACCCCCCAAAGTGGGCTCTCCTTGATGGTTTTCAAAGAACGTGGTCAGAGGCTTCTGAAAAATCCGTCTCCTTCGAGAAAGTTCGAATCTTAACCCCAAATTTTGACGGTGGCATTTTAAGATCCTTGCAGGGTTAAAGATATTTTGAACAGGATTCGTGGCAGTTGTAGATTTTTAGAATCTGAAGGCTCTTTAGTGATGGTCAGAGGGTGTATTTAAGATAAATATTTTCAAGTCGGGGTTTTATGCCTATAATCTGAGTTTCTCAACTTATATTTAGCCCAAACTTCTTTTTAAAGTAATTTCTTCTCTTTTGAATCTGCACCCTTTCAGAGTCCAGGGGAGGAAGCTCAGCCGGCTCTTCAGATGGTAAAGCCTGTTTCACAAAGCCCTTTAAGATATGCTAATGTATATGGGCTGATTATTAAGATAAATACCTTGTGTTGGAAACTGGAGTTAATTATAATATATATAATTAGTCACTGGTCAGCCTAGAAGTTATAATTTATTGCTCCCTGATTTGCATTTATTATCAAAGATATTTAATTTAAAGGAATTACAAAAAATAGCCTGATTTGAGTGGTTATGGAGATGGTGGGCATTTAGGAAACTTCAAAACTCTCTTCCCCGCCCCCCAAACTTTTCTAAACCCATTATATTCAATTTCAGGAAATAACACACCAACATTAGGAGATGGCTCCCGCTTGTTGACTGAAAAAAATGGGAAAGCCATTTTTAGAGAAGAAAAGGATGCTGTTTTCTCTTCTAGACCCTCATTTTTGGAACACTAGGTAAGCTTGCATGATAAGAGGGTCCAAGTCCAAGTAGAATTATGGCGCTTGGGTGATAAGGACGTCTTTTGTGTCATGCTGGGGGGAGGAGAACAAGGTAAAATATTAGAGGCTTTTTCTTTCAGTTAATCATTTCTCCTGGACAGTGAAAAAGAGAACGGCAATTTGTTACAGATACAGCTTTTGTGTAAAAGGAGATTCTTGTGGCTTTTCGTATAAAGTCCGTTTCCATAAAGCCCTACCCGCCTTTCAAATGTATTGTTTCTGCATTCCTTATCCGGTTCCTGCTCTGTGACAACTCTGGGCCCCCTCAGTCACACAAGCCACTCTCTGGTGTCCCTTTGTCTCTGAATTAATGCGTGTGTTAGAGGGGCCCCTTGGCCCAGTGTGAGAAGGCCGCCCTCAGCCCTCTCGCTTCTAGGGATCCTTTTAAAAACAAATGCAGTGAAGAAAGAGAAATTAAGGAGTCGATCCCATTTACAATTGCACCCAAAACCATAAGATACCTAGGAATAAATCTAACCAAAGAGGCAAAGGATCTGTACTCAGAAAACTATAAAATACTCATGAAAGAAATTGAGGAAGACACAAAGAAATGGAAAAACGTTCCATGCTCATGGATTGG